CCCAAATTGAGCCAAGGCATGAGCCACACTTTCACCTTGTTGAGGTTGATAAACCACTCTCGCACCAACCAGCTGCTGAAAAATAAAAATAGTTAAATAATTTAGAAAAATAAAAGAAAATTTTAAAATTGGGTGCAATTCAATCATTATGTTGGAAGTCTTTCCTCTGCAAAAGAGTAGCCAAGCTATATATTGGCTTTAACTACTTTACCTTAGTTTTCGATGAACTATTTCCTTTTTGGAGGAAATCCAATTTTCGTTATTTTTTTTCCTGCTTTTTAGTTATAATGTTCCAATACTAGTAAGTGCTTAAAACTCAAGTGGTGAAAAGTAATTACTCTTGCACCTAAATAGAGCTTATGACTTTGACTTGGAAAAGTTAACGCGTGGAAGGGTGCTTTTGTCCAGAGGATCTTCTTTCCATCGTGATCAATATAATTGTGTTCCCCCGTTCCCTCTCGCTTTCAACCCTCTTTATTTATTTATTGTTTTTGGAGTCTGAATCAGTCCTCCCCTGCCTTTTTAATTAAGTCTCTCTCTGTCTCAAAAACAATATTCACCAGATGATAGAAAGTATGGGCTCGTTTAATAAGTTTCATCAAAATGCAACCACATGTAACATGTAATGTAGGGGCGCTTTTGTTTCGACAAGACATTTGAAATCAACCTAAAATGTAATAATAGTGCGTCTATTTTTCTTATTAATGTTAGATTTGTAAGGCTTAATTGCTATATTTGAGTGGGCACTGAAAAATAAATTGATTGACGTGGTGTACATCAAGATATTCCCATAGCTAAGTATTGTTCTTTCTTGCTTATATATAAGTTATATTACAATGCTTTTTCTTTTAGAATATATAACCAATCAAATAATTTGTTCCTTTTATCACACTCTCGCACTTTTCGAATATATCGATATAGTATATTACAATTTCTCTTTTTTTCGTCGAAATTTGATTTCATTCCGTTTGAGTGAAGAAATTGAAAATTACATAGAATTCTAAAATGACGTAATTTAGATTTCTATCATTAAAATTTTTGGCAATTGAAGATTTTAATGTTTTAATTTATATATGTTGAATTTTGTAAATGAAAGAATTTTGTAAAAAGCACCATGAAAATTGTGAAATGACTCCTATGTTGGTGGAAATTAAACATGGGAATTTGATGCCCCAATTTCCACGATTTTTTATGTGCTTCATTTAATTTCTATGGCTAGTGAATTCTCAAGAGGTAATTGAGAATGGGGACATCAAGATATTATATGTGAGTCTCGGGCTGTCTTAAACAAAGGTTCTCGTTGGCAGATTGGTGATGGTAAGTCGGTGAAAGTGTGGGGACACCGTTGGATCCCTAAGCCAACCTCTTTTCAGATTTCGTCACCGGTGGTGCCTGGTTTTGCGACTGCTCCGGTGAGTGAGCTTATTGACCCTATAACGCACCAATGGCGGGAAGATTTGGTCCATGCGTGGTTTGCCGCTCATGAGGCCTCCTGCATCTTGACCATCCCACTTAGCTTCAGAGGTCCAGCCGATCGACTTATCTGGCACTATGAAAAGAAGGGTGAGTTGACTGTGCGCAGTGCTCATGAGGTGGCCCGACAGTTTCTCTTTGAGGAGACAGGGGAGGGTACTTCAGATCGCACTCTCTTCTATGGTGTTTCAACTAAAGTGTGGTCCCGGCTTTGGCAAGTGTGTGTGCCACCCAAGGTCAAGGTGCTTGTATGGCGTACACTCCTTAATATCCTTCCTACCAAAGACCGGCTGCTAAGCAAGGGCATTCAGAGGGATATGGGTAAAAAGCGTCATCTTTACATACAATAAACGATGATTTTTATAAAAAGCGTCATCTTTACATACAATAGACTATAGTTTTTATAAAAAGTGTCATATTTACATACAATAGACGACAGTTTTTATAAAAAGCGTCATCTTTACATACAATAGACAACAGTTTTTATAAAAAGCGTCATCTTTACATACAATAGACGACAATCTATAAAAAGAGTCATCTTTACATACGATAGATGACGGTTTTTATAAAAAGCATCATCTTTACATATAATAGACGACGATTTTTATAAAAAGCGTCTTCTTTACATACAATAGACGACGGTTTTTATAAAAAGCGTCATCTTTACATACAATAGACGACCTTTTTTTTATTTTATAAAAAGCATCATCTTTACATATAATAGGCAACTTTTTTATAAAAAGCGTCATCTTTACATATAATAGACGATGGTTTTTATAAAAAGCGTCATCTTTACATACAATAGACGATGATTTATAAAAAGAGTCATCTTTACATACAATAGATGACGATTTTTATAAAAAGCGTCATCTTTACATACGATAGACGACGGTTTTTATAAAAAGCGTCATCTTTACATATAATAGACGACGGTTTTTTATAAAAAGCGTCATCTTTACATACCATAGATGACGGTTTTTATAAAAAGCGTCATCTTTACATACAATAGACGACCTTTTTTTTAAATAAAAAGCGTCATCTTTACATACAATAGACGACGGTTTTTATAAAAAGCGTCATCTTTATATACAATAGACGACGATTTATAAAAAGAGTCATCTTTACATACAATAGACGACGGTTTTTATAAAAAACGTTATCTTTACATACTATGGACGACGGTTTTTATAAAAAGCGTCATCTTTACATATAATAGACGACGGTTTGTATAAAAATCATCATCTTTACATATAATAGACGACGGTTTTTATCAAAACAACCACGTCTTTACCAAAAAAATGACACTTAATTTTTAAAAGACGACGCTTGTCATACCTGCCGTCGTTGTTTTTTGGTCAGATTTTAACTCTGAAGAAAACCTTTTTAATAAGACGATGCTTTTTTATTTGTGTGCGTCGTTATAAAAAAATATTCAACAGTACCTCCGGTTTTTAGTTGTTTAAGTCACTTATCCACGACGGTTTTTTGTTACTGTCGTCTTTTTAAATACAACGACGGTTTTTTCTTCTACCGTCGTCTTTTTCTGGTCGTCTTTTTCACTTTTTGTAGTAGTGTATATTAAATTCATTTACTTTAATTCATGATTTCCTACCGTAAATAGAATTATGAGTTATTACTTTCCTTGACCTACAAGGATTTATTTTATTATAAATATAACCTCCTACAAGAGGCACTACAAGGAAAAACCTTTTTGGCGACCACCACCTTTGGTCGCTAAAAGCTGACATTTCGTCGCCAAAACCCTTTAGCGACGAAATAATTTCGTCGCTAGCTTGGTCGCCTAAGGCTCGTGGCTGAAAGTACCAGATGACAAAAGGCGACGAAAACTAATTTTCGTCGCCAAAACCTTTACGCGACCAATTTATTTCGTCGCCTTATAGTAATTAGTTGGTTGCCTATAAAGATTGCTTTCCGGAAAAATACCAAAATTTGCCGCGAACTGAGGAAGGATTCGGCGACCAAATAGATTTGTTCGTCGCCAATAGGTACTGATGACTACCGGATTTGGTTGCTAAAGCTTACTTATTTGGTCGCTAAAATATGTATATTTTAGGTGTTATTAATTATTTTATTTATGTTTTGTTTTGTGATAATATTAACCTTTTGTTTATTAACATATTGTAATTTCAAAAAATAATAAATTTAGATAAATAGATCAATAGATCAATAGAAAATGACATGAATAAAAATTTCTCTCATTCAAAAGTACACAAGAGCATACTAGTTATTCAAGTACACATAACATATCCAAAATTAGTATACATAAACGAGTGAAGAATTCTCCACTCAAAGACTGGAGGCCAAGCTCCATATATTCTTGCCCTTGGTAAACCCAAGTTCTGCAATAATTATTTCCCCACTCTAAGACTAGGTTTTGACTAAAAAAAAATTGCATGTATACTATGCCTTTTGTAATTCTGTGATCTAATATCGTGGAATTCCCAAACGATGCCAATTGTTGCTTGATCTTCTCAAACTCATCAATCAACCTCTTTTACAAAAGAAACAAAACAAGGAAATGCCAATGGTCAAGAAGAAGCCCAAACCAAGAAAATTTAAATATAAACATATACTTAGAGACCAAAAACAAACAATTTTCGACAACACAATTACAAGAAATCTTGCCCAAAAGCTGAAATTCACAATCTTAACTAAATAAACCATTAAAAAGAGTGGATCTACATAAGAAAAATGATTACTAGTCATCAATATTTAAGAATGTTTGAGAATGGTATTTGAACAAACTTAATAAAAATTGAATTCATTTTTCATACCTCTCAATATTAACTAATCTAAAGGATACCTTTGTGATAATAACAAATACCACAAATTAATAAGGAAAACAACTCCAAAAAATCAATGTAAAGACTAATATCATGCATAGCACAAACCCATTAGAAAACATAAATCATAAAATCCAAAGTATAATCCACACCTTAACCAACATGGGTTGCATAACTTCTCAACACAATACAAAACATGTATGCCATTTTAATAAATTTAAACAAACAACACCACAATGACATTGACAACCACTATAGCTGTTAATAAGAAAACAAATGGCACTAAGTGTAATGAGAAGAAGAGGATCTTACCTCAAATGGTCCTCCGTCCAAAACCACAAACCAAATCTTTCCACCTCCTCAAATAATCTGACATGCGAAAACAGGATATTACCTCAATAAAGTTAGACTCCTACATTGTTCTAAACACATTATAAGATAAAGAGAACCACAAACCCAAATAAAGCAATCACTCATTGGTTTTAATGTTTTCAATGCAAATAGAGACACTGAATGGCAACTTTTTCAGTTTCCACTAGAATACAATGAAGAACTGAAATAAAAAGAGATCAAAATGTAGAAAATGAGGATTGGATTGAAATAAAATAACATGAAAAATTCTTTAAAAATGAAAACACAAGCTAATAGAGGATGATCCTAGTGAAAAACTAGAAGTCTTGAAGATATTTCTTTATCATATTTTCAAGATCAAGACACAGAGTTTTGCTTAAGCACATAGCCCGACATTCCTAATTTTCTAGGCACTTCAATTTGGTCTTCAACCATTGCTAAGCAAAAAAGACAATTCAACAAAAAGGGTATGAAGTAGTTTTCAGTAACTCATAGATGAACAAATATATATTTTGTTATACAATTTGGGCAGGAACACTTCAACTTGGGAAATTCACTAAAAATTCATTTTGAGTCAAAATAGTGCAAAACGTTCTAGATCAGAACTAGACATATAAAACTTCATCACATTAAAATTTCATGGCATTTGAAGTTAAGGAAGCATGTCAAAAACAAAATCCAAAACAGACTTCAGCACTAATCTAGAAAAAAATTATTAAAAAAAAAATCCCATAGTTCAGTACAAGAAGCAAGGTTTAAAAAAACAGTGACACAATCATATAGGATAAAACTTAATTTCATTAGACTTGATTCATTACATTTATGGACTGGAAGCAAACATGAGCAACGAGCAATATTATAGCAATTATTCTTTTAAAGTTTCATTACATTTAAATTATTGGGTTTTTTGGTCTGGACCCTTTAGAGCAGTTTTGAGATGTAAAACAGGAAAGAGAAGAAAAGAGAGAGATTTTTGCTCTGAAAAATAGACTGCATTTAATGGCTCAACAATGGTGCTAGTTTGAACTGGGTTATGCAACATGGCTAGGTCTATGCATAACAGGACATGGCCAGCAACCATTTCGTGAAAACAGGTGCTGCCCCTTACCCCTTTAATTTAAGCAGCCTCATTGATCGAAATGCCCTTATCCTTACGCATATGCATGTTGTTCCAGTTGCTAATGTATGTAGGATTTTTACCCTTCTATATTTTCAAAAAAAAAAAAAAAAAAAAAAAAAAAAAAACTTTAACAAATTTCAAAAATGGGCATATGTAAACCTTAAAACAGATTAAGGAAAACATATAGTAACTTGAAGATGGTAAAACAAGGCTTTCAAGATTATATTTATGCAAACCCACGACGCAAGTCAGAAAAAAAAAAAATTGAAGGCAGAAGCAAGATTTTTAGCTATCCATACCCCTTAAGCAAGTATTTCAAACACCCTACTGCAAAAAAGAAAACAGAATCAGTTAGACACTATATTTTTGGAGGGCCTGAGTCCAAATTAGTCTTCAAACTCAAAATAGTATATGCCTTTGCCCTCTAAGTTTCACTAATCATCATAAAACAAAACATTATTTTCCCAGTTAAAACCAAATGGTTCAAAGTAATATTGTAATCAACAACACATCCATTTTATAGAGTCAGATCAAGTACAGTGAATAAAATTAGGCTTAAGGTCACATGCCTCTCATGTAGTAATTAATAATTAGGCTCTTCATCTGCATTTCAGAACAAATGATTATTCTTTACAGTTCTTAATTATATATGCCCTAATTGATGATAAAACCATTTCAAATCAACAAAACTTTATTCTTGAAGCTAATTGAATTACCTTTCATAAAATCCAAGCAACCAGTGATCATCACATAAAGCAGAAATGGTTTGTTAAAAAAGAAAAAAAGTGGCTGGAAGAGATTTGAAAGGATTTCCAAGACTTGACACAGAGCCCACATCAAATGGACAACAGGGCATTCATATCAAATACAAGAACCATAACCTAACCCGCATACTAAACACATTACAAATGAATACACAAACTGCATATATATATATATATATATATATATATATATGCACACACACACACATACAAAACAGAGAAGAAAATAGTTTGTAAATCATATATGGCCAAATAAATATTTCCAAAACAACACTCAAATAATACAGAGAAAATAGTCATCATACCTAACAGAAAGGCAGCATGTGAAGGAAATTGTGAGAGGAGGACTTTGCCAGTTCAATGGTTGAGGGGTTGCAACGATCTTGTTATTAAGACAAAAAAAAAACTCAAATTTTATTTTCAAAGAATCAAAATCAGAAATCTAGATAATTGAAGGGTAGATGATATCTGGATAGTAGGAAATAACTCAGGCAATCAGAAATCTAGATTGGGAACAATCATGAAAAAGGAAAAATAATTTTATTCAGATATCAAAAAGGAAAAATCAAGCACTGAAAATCAGTTCCGATTCAAATTCCTGAGTATTTAGTTCCAAATTTTCCTTGGTTGTTTTCTCAGCAACCAAACGGAATCTACAGTTGATAATCAGTGCTCAAAAGAAAATTAACAAGATGAGAAGGTAAGCCAAACAAGGAGAACTCACCAGAACCTTGCCGTTGAACCATGCAGCGAGGAAGACTTCGGAGATGAAGCCATTGATTTTTGACCCTGGGCGTGCGAGAGGAAAGTGGAAGAGAGAAAGGGAAAACCATCGATTTCTAACCCTAAGCTTGCAGACGTCGATGGCGATGTTGGAGCGGCGGAAGAGCGTGCGAGATAGAGGGGGTCTGAGAGGAAACAACGAGTTGGGATCTTATATTTTATTTTTGTATTTATACTCCCTAGATTGGCCCCAAAACAATTTGGTCGCCCATAAGTTAACATACACAAACGACGTCGTCTTTTTGGCTTAATCCTAAGCACACAAACTGGTTTGCGACGAAAGAAAACATTGGTTGCAGATCCCACGAATTTTTTACGCGCGACTTTTAACTTAGCGACGACACATGAAACTTAGCCACACAATATTTTCGTCGCCAACAATTTTTGAGTTTTGCGCGCATGTTTTCAGAATTTGGCGACCAATTATATGTTTGGTCGCCAAGTCCTAATGTATCCACCAATCTTGTCTAAATATCACCTATCTTTTGGCGACCAACTGAAAATAGTTCGTCGCCAATTTATAGTTTTTGCGACCAAAATTAGGTTCGTCGCTAAATATTTTGTCGCAAAAAAGGTTTCTTCTTGTAGTGAGGAAGAATATACAGAAAATTCCCACAAACAATATTCTCTCATAAGTTTCATATTTTAGCACTTTCTTCTACCTTGGTCTGGGTCTTCTCATTTCTCCTATTTGTTTCCTAAGTCCCGCTTGATTGAACATGATTAGTTTGACAGATTGAACAATCCATTTACTGTTTGACAATAACAAGAAAACTATCACAACACTACCCACGCAAAACTAATTCAAGTGCAACCAACAACACACTAGGTAGTATATTGAATGGAAAGGTGATGTCTAAAACCAAATGGCTGCCTTGTATTGTACTTAATTATGTCCAAGGAGATGTCGTCTTGGGTGTGTCGAAAACCAATAGCTAATGCATATGTTCTTGACCTAAACATATATAAATTTGATTAGAAGCAGAACTCAAGCTAAAACTCTACCAACTTTGTGGAATTTCAAGCAAAAAGAATAAAAATTCAAAAGCTAGCTCTTCTTTGTGGAATTTTCTGTAATGAATATTTGGTTGCATTTACACTTGTTTATTAATCAGATCTCAGTTCTTGACTTACGTCGTCTGGAGTCTTAAAATACTTTTTTTATTGATCAATATGTCAATAAATATTATCCCTTCAAATAAACAAAGGATTGTGTGGAGATCCATTATTGCTATTTGATTTGACAGACTTGGGAAATGGGCTGGTAATGAAAACAAAGGTCATGCATGCATCATGTTAATTTTTTTGTTCTTTTCGTCTTGTTCCTTTCTTTTACCTTGGTCCGTGTCTTCTCTTTCTAGTTTCTACTTTTTTTTTCCGTAAGTCCCACTTGATTGAACATGATTAGTTTGACAGACTGAACAATCCATTTACTGTTTGACAATAACAAGAACAAAGTGAAACCAACAACACACTAGGTAGTATATTAAATAGAAAGTTGATGTCGAAAACCAAATGGCTGCCTTGTATCGTACTCATGTCCAAGGAGATGTCGTCTTGGGTGTGTCGAAAACCAATAGTTATTTGATGTCTTTATCAAGACTTAAATTCATTAACTGAATTGAATGACTAAAATGAAGCTATATATAGGTGCAAAAATTCCACAGCACATGGTGACGTGCATGTTTGATATAAGGCCTCTTCAATTTCGCAACACCTAAATTCAATAACAAGGGAAAACCTGAAGAAAGTCGTAACGTTATACTAGTTAAACCCTAACCCGATGCAACCTAGCATTATCCCCGCTTCGTAGCTCCAAATCTATATCGAATGGTGATAACTGGAGTCAAATTATTGCATATGTTGGTCAAAAATGACAACTAAATTTAATGGCAAATTGACTTGAAGTTTTGCTGGTCTTTCTAATTGAAGATATCAGACATTGAACTAATCATATGTAATTGACAGGAATCGGTTTTTGTTTCGAATTGACAACGCTGGTCCTTAATTGCAAAGATATAATTTTTTTTAATGATTATTTGTTTGCATTTGCACTTTTTTATTAATTAGTTCGGGAGTTCTTGACTGTAGTCACCTCATTCTGGAATATAAGATCAAAATGTCAGTTCGTGAGTTCTTGACTTTAGTCACCTCATGCCAGTCCATAAATAGATACTTGACACGTGTATTATCCCATCACTTCTATATTGTTCAAAATGTCAAATAATATTAAATTGTTACTAGACACGTGTACGCTATTGCTCAACCGTTTGATCATGCTAGTCTATAAATGAATAGCTCTCTAGCTTTAACTTTAACAAATGATTCTTTAGCAAAGAGTGCAAATAAAAAATATCAAAACATTATGATTCACTTGTCGATTCGCATGCTCTCGAAACTACTAGTTTTGTTGTTGTGTCATCTTGTGGTTGCAAACTTTGTAGACTCTTTGCAGCAGCTATCTTGCCATGCCGAGGAGAGCTCTGCCTTGATGCAATTCAAGGAGAGCTTTATTATTGACAAATCTGCTTCACGTTCTAAAGGTGCTTATCCAAAGGTTTCATCATGGAAACCAACTGCAGGAGGAAATAACAGTTGCTGCTCGTGGGATGGCGTGGAGTGTGACGAGATGACGGGTCATGTTATTGGCCTTAATCTCAATAGCAGTTACCTCTACGGATCTTTCGACTCCAATAGTAGCCTGTTTAGCCTGGTGCATCTTCAAAGGTTAAGTCTCTCTGACAATGACTTCATTTACTCTCAAATTCCATCTAGCATAAGAAATTTTCCAAGCCTCACTCATCTTGACCTCTCTGCCTCTTTCTTTTCTGGTCAAGTCCCATCTGAAGTCTCACACTTGTCCAAGTTGACATACCTTAATCTGCGTTGCAATATTCTTGAAATTGAAACATCTCCTGATAATCCTCAGCGATTGTTGAAACTTCAACCATCCGATATGAGTAGTCTGGTTCAAAATTTAACTAGTCTAGAAACTCTTGATCTTAGTTTCATTAACATATCATCAATCATACCAGTTTCCTTGACAAATTCATCATTTTTAACACACCTTGCCCTCAAGAAATGTGATCTGTTTGGCGAATTCCCAGTGAAAATTTTTAGTCTACCGAACTTAGAAGTTCTTAATGTGAGATACAACCAAGATCTCATTGGATATTTGCCCATATTTAATCGAAGTAGTCATGTCGTCTCACTGAAAGTTGGGTTTACTAGTTTTTTCGGAACCATACCTTCTTCGATTGAAAAGCTTAATGCATTGCAAAAGTTGGATGTCGCTCAATGCAATTTTTCACATTCGTTGGTTCCATCTGCACTTGGTAATCTTAGACAGCTCACTTACCTAGACATTTCAGCAAACAGATTTGGAGGTCCAATTCCTGATTCTTTGGCAAACCTTACCCAATTGACTGTGTTTAGAGCTGGTACGAATTCTTTAACTGGTCCAATTCCATCTTGGCTAGGTAACTTAACCAAACTAGTTTACCTACAATTTTCTTTTAATCATTTGAATGGTTCAATTCCGACCTCATTTTCCAATCTCATCAATCTCAAGATCCTTTGTCTACAGTCAAATAACCTGAGTGGTGTAGTGGAGTTTCAAATGTTTCAGAAGCAACAAAATCTCTACCAACTCCAATTGAGTTCGAACAACTTTGAATTTGTTACTGGATCCAATATTATGAACGCAGCTATTCCACAGTTCACCGTTTTGGCTTTGAGATTATGCAATTTAAAAGAGTTCCCATATTTCCTACAAAATCAGAAAATTTGGAGCGGTTGGCTCTAGCAGACAACAAAATCAGTGGTGAAGTACCAAACTGGATGTGGAATTTAAGCAAGGAAACTCTAGTACTCCTGGACATTTCTGGAAACTTATTTTCAGGAGAACTTCCAGCTGTCATACCCTGGGTTAACCTGCTCTCTTTGAGGCTTTCAAACAACATTTTTCAAGGACGATTACCGATCCCTCCACCATCCTTGCTAGAATATGGAGCCAATAACAACAAATTTACTGGAGAAATTTCACCATTGCTTTGCAATATGAATTCTCTTATGTACCTTGACTTGTCGACAAATAACTTGAGTGGCACGCTTCCTCTGTGTCTCGGAAACTTTAGTGAGGGTCTATTGCTTTTACTTATTGGAAGCAACTCGTTTTATGGAATGATGCCTCAACCATTCAACAACAGAAGCAGTTTGAGGATGATTGATGTTAGTCAGAACCAATTGCAGGGGCAATTACCGAGGTCATTGGCGAATTGTGTGATGCTTGAGTATCTGGTTCTGTCAAACAATCAATTCAGTGATGTTTTTCCCATTTGGTTGAGGACTCTTCAAGAGTTAAAACTTTTGGCAATGCGCCATAATGGGTTTAATGGTGTGATAGGACAGTCTAGAACAAATGTTGACTTCCCCAAGTTACGCATTCTTGATTTGTCTTACAACAATTTCACAGGTGAGATTCCATCTTTGTTTCCAGATATTGCTGTAAACATGTCAACATACATGCAGGCACAAGTACAGTATGTCATCACTGATATTTATCTTACACGAAATGTTTCTTACTCAATCACATTAGCAATTAAAGGTTTGGATTTGCACTATTCGAAGATTCTAGAAGGCTTTGCAGCCATTGATATCTCAAGCAACAAATTTGAAGGGAAGATTCCAGAGTTCCTTGGGAACCTTACGGAGCTTCGCTCGCTCAATACTTCCAACAACATTCTCACTGGTTTCATCCCATCATCCCTTGGCAAGTTAACGAATCTTGAATCTCTGGACCTTTCACAAAACAAGCTCTCAGGGCAGATCCCCCAACAACTGACGCAGCTTTCATTCCTTGAGACGTTTAGTGTGTCTCACAACAATCTCATTGGTCCTATACCTCAAGGAACCCAACTTACTTCATTCAACTGCACTTCATATGAGGGAAACCTAGGATTGTGTGGAGATCCATTACCAAATAAATGTGGAAATCAAGAGGCCCCTCAACAGCCATTTTCAACTGAAGAAGACAGTGATTCAGGCTCAGCTCGAACTCTTGAATTTGATTTGATATTTGGTTTGGCTGGAGTTGGAAGTGGGTTGGTAGTGGGAGTGGTTCTTGCGGATGTCGTGGTCACAAGAAGGCAGGAGTTGTTTATTGAGATCGTTGGAATGGTCAGGCTAATGATACGGAAAAGGTAGAGCAGGAGATGCATAAATTGAATTTGTTATAAGGTCATGCGCATTTATAGTCATTTTCTTGTGTTTTCTTCCTTCTCCTTCTATGTAACCTTGCTCTGTCTTTGAGTTGTACCTATGCTAATGGAAGAATCAGTTATGATGATGTATTAATGCAAATAAAGATATTAGAATGTTGCATGTGTTTCTGTATTTGGATTTGCAAAACATTTCTTTCAACATAAAAGTAAAAAAGTTGGGATCGAACGAAAATCGTACACTATATTATGAATGCCGACAGTTTCAACATAAAAGTAAAAAAGTTGGGAAAATTTGGTTTCAATAATTGTAATTTATGGGAAAAAAAAGGGGTTTAATGAGTAATTTGAAATTTTATTAAAATTTAGTGGGGTGTAAAAAATTATGGGGTGTAAAGAGTAATTTATGGGGTTCATATAGAATTTCCCTTCTTTTTTTTTCGAGTTATTTGACTTCAGCCGAAAAGCATGCAGACCCGTTTTGTCGGTTACTTTGATTTGCTGAAGGTTTGATTACCAATTTATCGCTAATTTTCAAAACAGAAGGTTTGATTACCAATTCAAGTGTCATAGGAATTCGAATTTGAGACCACTGTTATGCAAATCAAAGTCCTATTTCACTGAAATAGACCCCATTGGCTGTTGTCTAGTTGATATTATCAGCTATATTACTATGATTATAAATACTCAGAATCTCTTGTACGTGTTAACCGCACTCCTAAATTCACTGAACACACCCTGTATTCAATCTACTCAACACCCAGACAAAAGATTCAAATGCTGAGCACAACACTCCCCCTGATAAGCATCACGATTGTAGTCGTACAATGGTCTTCACGATTGTAGGGTTTTACCCATTATAGAAACATTGTATTCATTCGTTTGTAAAGTAAGGCAAGCCAGCCAAACATATAATTTTCAAAATCAATTATTTCCTCAGACAACTTCTCTTTCGCTCTTACATCTCTGCAATTTTCCATCAAGAAATCTTCACAGTAAGTACTCACTTTCTATCTGCTTAGGTGATTATAAGAGTGTAAAAATGCAGCCGCTTCCTATGAGAGCTTAGGTAGTACTCATGAATATTCAAATGGGCGCATTGTCCATTTACACCAACTTGCTTGAACAAACTTGAATCCGATAATTTAATGTGAGTCTTCTCAAACTCACAATAAGAAATATTGGTTCATAAAAAAATTATTTTTACCAAATTTGTGTGGCTCATGACTATCATATCCTGAGGCTAGTTCAAAAGTGATTGATTTGGCTTCCTCTTTGGTACAGGTACAGCTCCTTCTAGGCGGTTTGGCTTCTCTCTTTTATTTTTTTATTTTTTCTTTATATACACATATACGTGGCTTAAAAATTTTTTGAGCCCCCTTCAGCTTTGGGTCTCGAGCTGTAGCCCTAGTCGCCCTGGGCCAAGGCCGGCTTTGCCCACATATCACTTGTATCGGAAAAAAAAAATTATATTCCAATACCTCTCCATTGATATTCATAGATCAGATTATCAGACCAGTTGAAGGCATTTTTTCTAGCATGGAACTGCTCATTTTCTAACTGCTGATCTAACCCATTAATAAGTTTATGACTTTGACTTGGAAAAGTTAACGTGTGGAAGGGTGCTTTTGTATGTTTTGTTGGGGGGGTGGTTGTGGGGCTAATAGGTTTATGACTTTGTCTTTGAAAAGTTAACGTGTGGGTGCTTTTGTTTGTTTTGGGGAGGGAATTCAATTTTCCATCAAGAAATCTTCACAGTAAGTACTCACTTTCTATCTATCAGTAAGGCCCAGTTTGGGATTGCTGTCACTTAAAAAAGAAGTTGCTTTTGCTGTGCTTTGAAAAATAATTAGCTGTAAAGTAAAGCAGCTTCGTGTTTGGTAAACAATATTTTTAAAGTGCTGTTAGTACAAAAAGCAGTGTCAAAATCGTTTGATACGTTTTAATATAAAATTGTTGTAACAGATCTCAGTGAACAGATGAACGGTGCGGAAGCGAAAAAGTATCGAGCCTGGGTTTTGGTACCACGTTAACAAAGAGTTATAAGCAAAAAGACAGAGCGAATATTTTGAGAATATTCTAGATTTCTTTCTGATTTTTTACTGAATGAATTACATAAGCTCTGTTGAGCCTTTATATACTATGATTACAGTTTGCTTACTAATTAGACACTAGCTACAACTGAAACAGATGCTTACATGAACTCATCTAATGCCAGCTCATCATGACACCTCAGCTATTACTAATATCCAGGTAAGATATATTCAACTCTGTACCAAGCAAACCGGTAAAATATCTCTTTGATGCACCTATACTTCTCAGATTACCTATTGACCTAATACCTAGCCAATAGATAAAGTTGAAAATGATATCGATGTATCATGTACCTCCTTTGAAGGTAAGGGACATTTTCAACTCAATAGGTATAAATTAAGGGCATGTTTACGTATCAGTAATGGGTATGGAAGGAAAGGGAATGATTTCCATTCCTGACTTCTCCTGCATTTACTTGCAATCATGAATGAAAAAATAATGGGCCCCATCTCAAAATCCGTAATCACATTCCCTTAAAACTAGGAATCAGATCAACTAGGGGGGAGTAGTCGATACGATTCCCATTCCTGTTTTCTCTAATTAACTTCCAAAAATACCCTTATCACTTTACCATAATTCTAAAATTAATTTGGATTCTGATTCATGCAAATTAGTAAACAATAACAATGGGAATCAATCCCATTCCATTGCTAATTCCATATGTTTAGTAAACAGCTTAATGAGAATGATTCTTCCCATACCGATTCAGTAGTTCTCCGATTCCTAAATTCTCTGATTCCTTAGTTTCTCTATTACTGATATGTAAACATGCCCTAAGAGTTTTTCTATTTAAACCCCGTATTTTTCTTTGTTCACCTCATATTCTAAGTTCATCCTAATTTCTAATTCAAATTTTCACAATTTCTAAGAAAAGCCCACTATCTTCCCAAACTACCTCTAAATATACCCACAAAAAAAAAAAAAAAAAAAAAAAAAAAAAAAAAAAAAAAAAACCTCACTATTATAAAAACACAAGAAAGGAAAGTTTCATAGAAGATTTAGAGGGTTGAGATGAAAGTTGTATATTTCATTGATGCATTTGGTATACAATAAAGCTGCAGACTAAAACCCTAATTGTCCACTGTGTAATGCGAGTATATATAGAGGTAGTTTAGGGCAAGATAGCGGGGTGTGGGGTTGATGTTTTTTTTTTTTTTTTTTTTTTTGTGTTTGGTGTATTTAATTTGGGGGTATGTTTAGGAAGATAGTGGGGTTTTCTTAGAAATTGTGAAAATGTGAATTAAAAGTTGAGGTGAACTTAGAATATGGGATGAACAAAGAGAAGTGCGGAGTTTAAATAGAAAAATCCAAATATTGAATCCCCATAATATATCCTAGGTCCAAGTACGTACCATATACGTATACAATATTATATGTGTAAGAGATACGGACACTTAAAACACCATAAAAGATGCTATCAAACCACACTACGTCAAATTCATTACCTCACCAATAGACGACGAGATAAAAGAAAAAGAAAAGAAAATTGAAACATCCAACGTTAGTATATAGAAACAATATATATGATGCGTGGGCCATAATTATTGAGTTGATTAAGCATGAAATTTTTACATTAAATATTTGACTTGAAAGATATTGTAGCATCCCAGAATCGAAGGATGCGTTTTTATACTTGCCTTCTGAACTAATGGCATATGTAATAACCAGGCTCAATCTCACACCCATGCAAGTGTTCAACACACCCAAGCGCATCCAGATGATATTCCTACAACACCTCAGCATACCATTTCTTCGTGCTTATCTAGCAAGGAACCTCTTGTATATTTTCGATACTGTTCTAGAATATATACAATTGTATGGCTATATATAGTAGATATATATATATATATATATATATATATATATATATACTCGCATTAACTTATAGTACTATATGTTCTTATACTAATATATGATCAGAAAAGTAGAGAAAGTGGTTAGTGGCAGAGAATATCACGCATGCTCCAAGTTTCCAATTCAATTGCTTTCTTATCATTATAATATATTAAACCAAAACAGCTTTCCAACATATATTATCATATTAAACTGGATTTTGCGTAGGTTTGAATCCACTGTCACCCGCACTAATCTTGGTATGTATTAAATATTGTAAAGAAATAATAAAATAATGGAAAAGGTAAGAGGTAGGGAGCTTATCCTTTCGGTGGGTTTGCTGTTCTCATCCAAAGATGCTTTAGCACTTCCTGCACGCTCCAACTCATCTGCTCCAACACGCCTATACTGGTTTGGATGGTTAGCATGATGAATGATGTAAATGTTAGTATAATAATATAACCAATAAACAACATAAAGAAAACATAGTTTATCTCTTGGGTGGTCACAAAATAAACTTCCCTTTCGTTCTTGTCAATAATCCCTTCCCAGCAGCTCTCTCGTGATAGTCAGCATCTCTCTCTCTTTCTAGCAGACAGTAGCAACCTTGGGTCTTTTATAGGATTGACTGCGCCTTCTGTATACACACTTGCATCAATCAAAACCAGTCTTCCAACATGTGGATTCCACTTCCACAACACTTTCATCATGATGTTCTTCATTATTTCCAAATGTGTGGGTTCCACTCAAGACTTAAACAGAGGAGCAGGTAGCATCCTGAGTGATTAGCAAAGGCCAAAACAATTTCCACAGAACAGAGATTGAAAAGTCAGGCCAAGAAACCGAAGAAATGATGAGGAAATCCACAAGAAAGAGCTGATGTTGAACACGTCCAATACCCATAAATGCATTGCTACTTGACTTGAAGTCAAATACGTATATGTGTATTGCTCAACCATTTGATCACGCGGCCTGTCCATAAATAGATAGCTCTCTAGCTTTTACTTTCACATATGATTCTTTAGCTAAGAGTGCACCCAAAAAACATCATGAAAATTA